TAAGAACTGTCCCAGAAAAAGGGCACCAAGCCTGGATGGGTTCACAGGGGAATTCTACCAAGTCTTCAAACACATTATAGTCCTACAGCACCATATTTGTCCCAGAGCATCGAACACCAAAGAAAATGTCTTAATGCTTTTTAGGAACAAGGTTAACACTAATGCCTAAGCCTGAAACATTACCACCTCCCCCACCAAAAAAAAAAAAAAATACAGACCAAGAGGTACATAAAGCATCAACAAATAGAATATACCCCCATCTTTAACAAAGAAACAAAAAAGAGAAACTAAGATCAAAGGGAGTTTATTCCAGAAATTAAGGCTGGTTTAATATTAAGAAATCCATTAATACACCATCTTAATAAATCTAAAAGGGAAAAAATCATGATTGTCTCCAGAGATGCTAAAAAAAAATTTGACAATTTTCAACATCATGCCTAATAAAAACACAAGAAAATAAAAATTGATGAATACTTTCCTAAATGATAAAATATATATATATTCCAATCCTAAAGCTAGCAACTTAATCAATGAAGAAAGAGTAGAGACAGTTTCAACAAGATGAGGAATAAGGAAAGGATGTCTATGATCTCTAATACACTCAGCATTTTATTAGAGGTACTTGCCAGTACAATCAGATAAATCAATCAGCAGCATAGGAATAGGTAAAGAAGTAATATCATCTCCATTTGTAGATAATATGACAGTATACTTGGGAAACCCTAGATAACTCATAATAAAATGAATTCAAACAATAAAAAGAATTTGGTAAGCTAGTAAGATATAAAATTAACTTATAAAAATCGATAGTCTTCATAAACAAACAATACCAGCTGAAGGACAAAACAGAAGGTAAAAACACATTTACAATAGCAACAAGAAATATTTAGAAATAAGCTTAAGAGGAAATGTGTCCAAACTACATAAAGAAAATTTTAAAACTCTCTTGAAAAAACACAAAAGGAAACTTCAATAAATGGAAATATATCTCTGTTGTTGGAAAGGACAACTCAACATCAGAAAGATGTCAGTCCTCCCTAAGTTTAAAAATTTAATGCAGAGGATTCTGGGGAGATGGTGGAATAGGAAACACCAGGAATCCGCCTCCCCACCAGACAATAACTGCATTGGCAGAAACTGTCTAAGTATTTTGGAAATCTGGAGTCTACTGAAGGCTTACAACTTCTAGTGGAAGGCTTGGACTGTAAATTGTGGTAATTTCAGTCAATTTCAGCTGTTCGTATAAGTAGCAGCTACCCATCCCATATTCCCAGACTCATGGCAGTCATCTTTGCAAGAGTTCCAGGAGCAGCTTGCACAGAGCTTGGGAGTCAGGATGGGGAAAAATCACCCTTTCCTCCAAATATTAGGGATCTATGTTCTAATTACTGATGGCTGCTTATGATCCCAGAGGTGCAGACAAAGAGGCAGGCAGCTATTCTTGTCACTCCTCCCACAATTGTTGAAAGTCCCTCCCCTTCTGGCTGAAGTGACTACCAGGGGATTTAAAGGGCTGGCACCCAGCCCCTTCATTCTCCCATTTTTGCTCTTTTGGAAGCCAGACATTAAAGACTATAAGGATATTCAAAAGCAGCTGCATATATGAGGAAAATCGCAAAGTGACTGTGCATATCCAGCAAAAGGCAAAGAAAGGTTCAGAAAAGACCTGGGAAGGCCTTAAGTTTTTTATACCACAGGCTGATCTTTGGCACAGAGGTAGGATGTTAAATGTAATCCCCTTGGTAACCACAAATAAAATAGCTATAAAATATAAACAAAAGGAATTGTTCACAATGAAAAGAATTGAAATGTTTCACAACAATAAAAACAAACGTAAGAAGTGAGGGACAAAAAAGATTTAAGACATATAGAGAACAAATGGCAAAACAGAAGTCCCCACTTATTAGTAATTTCTTTAAATATACATGGATTAAACTTTCCAATCAAAAATCACAAACTGTCAGAATGGATTAAAAAACATGACATAATTATATGCTGTCTACAAGATACTCACTTCAGATCCAAAGTTACAAATAAATTGAAAGTGAAAGGATGGAAAAAGATATCCCATGCAAATAGTAACCAAAAGATAGCAGGGACAAATAAACTGTCAGATAACAGACTATAAATCAAAAAAACTCACAAGAGACAAAGATATTATATAATAATCAAAGAGTCAATATAGCAAGAAGACATAACAATTATAAACATTTATATACCTGATAATCAAACTATGTGAAGCAAAAACTGACAGAACTGAAGGGAGAAACATACAATTCTACAATAATATTGGAGACTTCAAATAGACAACCAGACCAGTGAAATAAAACAGAAAGTCCAGAAATATATCCAAGTATATATGGAAATTTAATATGTGGTAAAAGCATCATCATGAATCATTGGAGCAAAGATAATTCTTTAATAAAAGTGTGGGACAATCTGTTAGCCATTTTGAAAAAAATAAAATTAAATCCATACCTCACTGCATACATAAGAACACACTCCAAATACATCAGAGAACTAAATACAAAAAATGAAACTATACAAGCAAAAAAAAGTGAATTCCTATTTAAACTCAGTACAGGGAAAGATTATGACTTAAAATCTAGAGGCAATAACAGATTAATAAATTTGATAACACAGTATAAATTTTTGCTCAGTATTTGCAAAATACCAAAAATAGTCAAAAAACACCTGACATACTGGGAAAAAATATGTGCAGCACAATCCTAATTTAAGAACTCTAGAGAAAAAAGACAAAAGAAACAATAGGGAAAGATATGAACAATTAATTCACAAACAAAAAAGATATAAAACTGGTTGTAAAACATATGAGAAGTTGTTGAACCTCGTTTAGCAGGTTGCAATAGGAGAAATGCAAATTCAACTACACTGAGATGCAAAGAGGTACAATTCTCTTGGATGGGAATTTGGTAATATCTAACAAAACTGCATATGCATTTACCTTCTGACCCACCTATTTACTTCGGGAATCTACCCTGAAGATAAACCTCCAACAATATGAAAATACATACACATAAAAGATTATTAATTGTATCATTGGTTGCAATCATAAAATACTGGAAACTAAATACATAGAACATCTGAATAAACACTGATACATATACACAATGGAGTGCTATGCAGCTGTAAAAAAAGAATAAGGATAATTTCTATGAACTAATACGTAACTATTTCCAGGATATATTGATAAGAAAGAAATAAAATGTACACGTATCTCATATTTGTGGGGGGAGATGGAAGGGCGGGGAACCAGAAGAATAAAGCAAAAACTAATGAGATTAATTACAGGGAGGCAGAGTAGATGGGAAAAGATGAGGGGATGGGAACAGAGTAGAATAGATGGGGGAATTGGTACTTTTTTAGTATTTTTTTATATATTGTAATTCTGTCCTTTAGAACCCTGTTGATGTTCACATACCAAATATATTAATAAATAAAACAAACAAGGATGAGGTAGGGAATCAAAATACAATAAAACAGAAACAAACCTTTTATTATAAGTAACTAACATAACCACACTGAAGAAAGGTTTGGTGTTAAAAATCCTAAGTAACTTTGGAAAAGAGTATTTCAACTACACACTGTAAGGCTAGAGACAAAAAGAACTACCCACAAATATTACACATTAGTTAACAGGTTTGCTTTTCACTGAGTTATGAGTTAGCAATTCCCAAACTTTATGTAAAATTCTAGGACTTACTTTCCCAAATTTTACTTTATGTAAAATTCTAGGACTAAGGAAATAATATATTATAAATAATGAGA